GGCAGATCCATTTTGTTCCTAGAGCAAACTTACCCAGTTTGTTGTCTTCCGGATGTTTCAGACTACAAGTCCCATCACCCCCGAGCTGGCATGGCCAGTGGTCAGGAATGAAGAGTTGTAGTCCAAATCTGTAGGACAACAGGTTGGGATAGGCTGCTGTAGAGCAGCTTAAATTATATGTACACACATGAACACACATTGGGAGCCAGTGTGGTGTAGTATTTAATGCTTGACAAGGACCTTGGAGATCCGGATTCGAATCCCCACTCAGCCATGAAGCTCATTGGGTGACCTTGGGCCAGCTAAACTCACCTCACAGGGTTGTTTTTGAGAATAAGACATGGAGAGGAGAAATCATGCCAGACTGAGCTCCTTGGAAGCGGGACATAAACAAATAAATAAACAATAAAGCACTGTGTCAGGGGTAGCTCAATATGTTTTGCTGCTTGAGGCAAAGAGCAAGTCTCTCTCTCTCTCTCTCTCTCTCTCTCTCACACACACACACACACACACACACACACACACAGCCATCTTAAGCATATGCGGCGCAGGGGTGCAAAGATTCACCTTGTGCCCCCCCCGGGTTGCCCAAAGTTGTTGACCCTTTTTTTTAGGATAAGCTGACACCACGCTTATCTCTGCAGGAAATAATAAGAAGCCCAGTGCAACAAACCAGCCAGAGGCATCAGCATCAGTGACTGAGCGAAGTCGGGCGCCTTGTGGTGTATGCAGCCCTACGCCAATCCCAGGTGCGCAGGAGGGCAGAGCCCGCTGACCGCCTCAGTGCCTCGCTAGCTCGCTTGCCCCCGAACTCACGGTGCAGAGCTTCCTGCCACAGAAGAGCCTGCTGCGGTGCTCCGACTGACGGGCAGGCTCCTCCCTGGACCCCAACTCTCAGGCCCCGGACTCTCAGCCTGGCGCCCCTGAGAGCCCGGCACCCGGGTGCCCCACATCCCTGGCGCCTATGGTTAAGGCAGCCCTGCACACGCACATACTCCATGCAGCTGGAATTTGGGTTTCATACTGGCAATGGAACAACATCATCACATCAGAGGACAGCAGGGTGGCTTAGAGAGGATGCCTCACTGGTGTCCACTCAAGGCTCTGTCTGGTGCTGTGCCTGAAGCAGAAAATCTCAGATGTGCCACTCTATAGCACTGGTTATAGGGGTGTTGCAAATATATATCCAGTGCTATTTTTCTAGAAAAATAGGTGCCGGAATTCCCCATAACCGCCTTCTGTGTTCTCTTATAATGGGAATGGTGCCCACCTGAGATGGGTCGGAGCCGAGTTCTAGAGAGTTCTATGTGAAGAAAAAGCATCGTATGTATCTATTTTTTCATCTGTGAAACTTTGGAGGGTATGCTGATGGTGATCAGGCATTTCTGAGGAAGAGTTAATTAAGATGCTTCTAAAACAACCCCTTGGGGGAGTCATTATTACAAATGCAGCAGTTGCTGGGTGCATCACATTCAGCTCAAATATATTTGTTTCAGCCATAAGCCATAACAAGTTCATATACATTTCTTTAATTAAGAAAGTTCAAGGCAACATGGCAAACAGTATAATTAATAGTGCCCAAACAATGAATTTGCATATCTTAACAATAATTCATCCCAACAGTCAAGCATGGTAGTACTCACAAACATCATCTAGCTTTGGTCAGGGTAAATGCTGAAATATTCCCTTCCTGTCTGACTTCCTTGTTACTCACTGAAAGCAAGTAATCTGCTATATGTGAAGGTGCCCAAAATTTCCATCTAGGTATTTCTACAGCCCTATTTTTTACATGATGAGACTAAGCGCTGGCTGGCACGCATACTTATGGTACGGGAAAGGGAAGGTTCATAGAAGTTTTTACAACCATATAATTAGGAAATCACTAATGAGAGTATGAGAGAGAGACAAAGACTTATTGGAACAAAAGACCCCATGGTGGCTTTCACCACATGAAGCATTATTGCTCAAACCACTTGGAAAGAAAGGAAAATGGCTCACACATGCTGATTTATTAAAGGACCATGATGGAAAATGGAAATTAAGAGATTATGATGAGATTAAAGACCACTTTCAGAGTTGGTTGCATTATTGACAACTATATGAAACACATAAAGAAGATAGCAAGAAAGGATTCAGTTATACAAGATCTAGGTTTCAAACAGAAGTAATTGAAGGGAAAGTGAAATTACTGAAGGCCACACACAGCATATTATTAGAATGGGAGACTAAAGATGAAGAGGTAAAATCAGTTATGATTAAATGGGCACAAGATGTAGGTCATAACATTATGGTGGAAGATTGGGAAAAATTATGGAAAACTGACTTAAAATTTACAGATTGTTCCCTATTGAAGGAGATTTACATGAAGATGATGTATAGATGGTACACAACACCAGTACAGTTAGGGAAAATGTACAAAACTAGTTCAAATATATGTTGGAAGTATAAGGAAAAGGAAGGGACATTTTTTCATATGTGGTGGGATTGTAATGTAATTAAAAAAAGTTGGGAAATGATATACAATGAATTGTAGAAAATGCTCCATTTAACATTTGTTAAAAAACCCGAGGTATTTTTGTTGGGTATTGTAGGGAAAGACCTGCCAAAAAAGCTGAAAAACATCTTCATGTATGTGACAATGGCCGCGAGAGTTCTGGTAGCACAAGGATGGAAGACTGAAGAAACCCCAACTAAAGAATCATGGCAAGAAAAATTGACGGACTATGCAGAACTGGTAAAAATTACATATAAGCTACGGGACAAGGATAACTGTGACTTTAAAGATGAATGGGAACCCCTTACAAAGTATCTGAAGATGCAACAAAGTGAACTGGACTCTTTGGCAGGTTTTGAATAAACATTCACAAACTTTTTATTGATAATAGTTTGAGGATCTATACAACTTTGTAACATGCAGAAAACAGCAGTCTCAGAGAAACCAAAGACTGGAACTGAGGGAAGTCGGGGGTGGGTGGGTTTTGTGTGGGAGGGTAGGGGGAGGGAGGAAAAATGGGGGAAAAACAAGGATGATATGTTTTTGGATAATGTGTCTTGTTTTAATTTTGAATAAAAAAACTTTAAAAAAGAAAAGAGAGACTAAGCGCTGAGTTCTGGCACCTTAAGCAAACTCAAGGGAATAAACTGCCTTGCCAGGCTTAGCTAGATCACCCCCCAAGACACACACACCGCTTGGGAGGAAGAGTTATTATGTTCTTTTATTCTACTGTGTGAATTCTGACAAGTAAAGAGGTCTGGGCTGGTTGCTCCAAGCTCAGACTGCATGGCTTTTCTACAAAGCCATCTTTGTGTTTCTGTACAAATATTTTTTCTCGAAGCTACAAACATGAGTCTGACCAAACTGTGGGAGGCAGTGGAAGACAGGAGTGCCTGGCGTGCTCTGGTCCATGGGGTCACGAAGAGTCAGACATGACTAAACGACTAAACAACAACAACAAATAATTTAGAAACAATTACCACTTTAGAACCTAAGTTTTACTGCCTGTGTTTTATGAATGCTGTATGGAAAAACACATGAATCTGACCTTTGAAGAATTTGTAAGTAAACCATTTTTAGCTCACCAAATATGTGGTCTCTTTCTATGCTAAGGAAAGATGGGGACTTTGGAAACAGAATGGGATATTTTAAAGGTCTAACAGCCTAGATTTCCATGCTTTACAATGCTGCATAGTTTGTGATTTTAAATCTCTGTTGGGTTTCTCTCACCAAGGAGTATTTGCCCCAAACCTATGTCTGGGCATTCTCTGAATTACAGTTTTTGTGCATAAATCACTCAGAGTCTTGATGTCTTTCTGCCATGCTGAAAAACACAGTCTATTTGAAATGCATAAGAGTAGAAAGTTCCAATTCACATTTTAAGCCAAAATTTTCCAAAATATATACAGTGTAAAGTAATTCAATTTGGAAATGGTTTCCTCACTATCCATAGAGGAGGAACAACATGAAATATAACAACATGTTGTTAGCCGCCCTGAGCCCGGCTTTGGCTGGGGAGGGCAGGATATAAATTATTATTATTATTATTATTATTATTATTATTATTATTATTAAATGCATGCACTTAGCAAATGCACAGTACCATGGTTCTTTGTTTCTTATGATTCTATTGTTGGTATATTTTTTGTTCTAAGGAAAACTTTTCAAATTGTGGATTAATAAAAAAGAACCATGGTCTAAACTCATATTGTGGATACAAATCCAGAGCTGTTTCAGCCTCTCTTTTAAAAAAACACAGCAAAATGTAGTGCTGCTCTAATTGAACATCTTCAGGGAAAGAAAATGACAGGTTGAAAAAGAATGGGTGGCTTTGTGACCGAAAGAATGGTGTTTAAGTTATTTGTGTCAAATGCATCTCATTATGACCCTGGTGTTTGGGAAAGATTTCCATAACTGCCTTAGGCAAGAGTAGGGCAACCTGTTCAGTACAAAGCAACTTTTAAAATATGAGAAATTGTGTGGGTGGGGAATGATGCAGAAAGGTCTAGCTAGTGCACATAATACTCTGACACCCCAATCCTATCCATTGGCAGCTGGGGCAAAGACACAAGCAGAGGGTTGTGTCATCACACTCACCTATACCTGGGAAAGAAATGGAAGTTAAGCAAAATATGCCCTCAATCTTACTTTGATTTGAGCTTTAAAGGAATCTCCAGCAATCTGCAGGAGATTATTGGAGATCCAGTGTGGTGTAATGACTTTAGAGACCAGAGTTTGAATCCCCACTCAGCCATGACACTCACTGGGTGACCTTGGGGCAGTCACTGCCCCTCAGTCTAGCCCACCACCAATCCCCGGGTTCTGAGCTGTCTTCCGCTGGGGGTTGCCTTGGGGGTTCTCCAGCTGGTGCTTCCACCACTCCTCTGCATTTAGACAGTCCATGGCATACACCACCTCAAGCAACTTAGAGGAAAAAGTGGCTTATAAATGTAATAATTAATTAAATTAAATTAAATTAAATTATTTAATTTTTTTTTTAAGAAAAGGAGGGTCACTACAGTAATTGCACATGCAGATATCTGCATACGTAATCACTGTAGTAATTACACATGCAGATATCCGCATGTGTAATTACTGTAGTGACCCTCCTTTTCCCCCCTTTAATAGCCTGGAAGAAAGATGCATACATGCACACATATATGGCAGCAGAGCTTTTCTGACTATTTTATCTCCATGGTAAATTGCATTGGCCTGTCTGTCTATCTCCATCTGTCTTGAGATATTCCTTCTGATAAATTGCTTTAATATCAGGATATTAGCAGTAACTTGGACTAGAAATGTTGGTTGTATTATCCTTCCTTTTGAAAGCAATAAATTGATTCTGACTGAGGGCAGCCTTTTTAGTTCCCACCCAAATGGGGGAGAAAATGAAGAATGAAAGTGCCTATCATTGGAATTATTCACAGCTGTATAGAGCATTTAAATAGGCTAGAGATATTGCACTATAGTCAACCTGTCTCTGATGATGCTGCCGGTTTTCAAATTCAAAAGGGCTTTTGAAATTCAGACTTGTATGAGTGCTTGTCATCTCTCTCTGTGTGTGCGCGCGTGCACATACTAATAGTAGCCAAAGAACAGGTTTTTATTATTATTCTGGATTATTTAATGGATGGATCTGAGTGGGAATAATTTGAGGATGTTATGAACAGGAAAATGGGATAGGAAGAGTGGGGTGGGGGTGTATAAACACAACAGGAGTCCCTTACAAATTTGAAAGGAAAACCTGAGGATGGGAATGGGGAGAAAATTGGTTTGGTTTGCAGTTTAAATGAAAATCTACATAATTTTCATTCTCTGGAAGAATATGTGAACCAAAATACGGTTATCTTTTTGTTATGTGCACATCTGTGACCTTTGCGATGCAGCTTTCCAGTAAAATAAATGTGAACAGAAATGCATTCATCAGGGGGAAGTGAAAACAATATCCAAAAATGCATTAGGGAAAATGATGAACAGAGGAAAAACCAAAATTGGCAGAATTGTCCCTCCTTACTCAAGGTCCAGAATTCCTGTTTGAAGGGTAACAAAACAGAGGGATGAAAGACCTTGCAAGGCATACGGCAGACTTAACTGGCCACAAAAGTAAGCACAAGGTAAACTATGAAAGTTCTAGCAGTGACACTGGCAACGTGATCTTAATGGATATGCAGCTACACTAGAGACCTCAGCATTGGTGATACCTTCTTACAGAGGCTGTCATTATACATCACCCTCATCACTGGTTTCAGTGGCAGACTTTCAGCTCTCAAATTTCAGCAGTGCACTGTGTGACGCCAAAATTTGGTGCCTTTCACGATCTGCAGGAGGAGCTTTCAAAATTTACACTTTGCAATGCAGTTCTCCAGTCAAGTAATGTGCCCCCCAAAATGTGCATTTTTTAAAATTACCATTTATTAAGTACATTTGTTAGTTTAGGGCAAACCTAATCAACTTACAAACAGACAGACAAACAAACAGACAATAAACCCCACACAGAAACATCAAAACTAAGAGGAAACAGAAAAAACATTAAAAAATACCTCACCCAGTTCTAAAAGGCAACATAAAGGCCAACGGCCTAGCTGTAGAGGAATGTTTTTGGCTGGTATCTAAAGATGTGCAGTGAATTGTTCACCAGCTGTAGTTTCTGAAATATCTTCAGAGGCAGTCCCATGTATAATGTGTGTAAATATTTACACTAAATATTAGGGTAACAAGTGCATATAATTGTGTATATTAGTGAAAAGAACATAAAAATGCATTACATCAGGGCAAATGGTTTGCAAAATTGTGCATATTTACAAAAATAGTATACAAAAAGTTTTAATAGGAAAAAATCATGCTAAAATGCTGGTGAATTTTCATAAGGATTGGTTTTTTTAAAAAAAAATGCAAAATGCTGAAGATATGTGGATAACTGAATTTGATATTGGGGAAAATGTGAAACGAGGGGAACCAAAATTAACAGATTTTTACATCCCTGTCTCCAGGTAGGACTGGGAATATTCCCTATCTGAAACTCTGGAGAGCCACTGCTGGTCAGCTCTCCAGAGTTTCAGACATGGAGCTTTTGGGAATTGCAACTGGATGTGGCAGAGATTGAATTTGGGGTCTTGTACATGCTCTGATACTGAGCAATAGCCCTTTTTTTAGAACATGCGTTAATATTTCTTTGATGCACCATCGCAAACTCAATCATAATATTATTTGTAGTGGTAAGCTGAATTGTGACCTAAATAGTGGTGGGTAAAATTTTCTTTTTTCTATTTTACTTAGCAAGGTTTATATACTGCTTCATTAAAAAAAACCAACCCACATCTAAGTGGTTTACTTAAAATGGTATAAAATATGTATTTAAAAATAGCAATGAAAACAAACTTAAATACAGCAAATGAAATAAAAGCATAAAAATATAGGTAAAATGGTCAGATCTTTAAAACAAATGTACAAAATAGAATTAGGTGTCAAAAACACTTCAACCAATATCAATAGGCATGGCGTTCCAGAGAAAAGGAGCTGCTATAACTAAAAGTTAAATTTCTCACAAGTGTGAAATGAGCATTATGTGGCCTCTGTCAAAGCACCAGTTCTGCAAATCGACACAGTCGAGTGGGCACATATTCTACTTTACATCTACACTTAATCCCTAGGCTCACAAAACTAATCACAACTGATAGAAAATAAGCCTCAACCCCTGGTGGTGATCTGAATGGGCTGGGAGCATACATAATAACTCATCCTCAAAATGTAGGTTTGTTTGGAGCAAACACGCGAAAGGTGGAACTGAAGACGAAAGACTGCGGATGATTTCCTGTTACGAAAACAAATATTTCCTCCCATTTACTCTCTATAATTGTGGAGTTGCCTTTAATTCCATTGATGAGCAGTCTGAAAACATTCCTGTTAAACTAATGAGCCTGAGCCCTCAAGAAATGGGAAGAACAATTGTACACAGGCTTGATAGAACCAGCAAAAGTCTATGGACATAACCCTAATTAATTTAGTGTGTTTGGCTTCCCAGCTTCCAGCCTCTATTGTGTAAACTGCAGCATCTGCAGCTGTATTGCATTCATGACCAACATTATGTATATTTTAGTTTGCAAATATTTGAGGCCTCAGCCTGGGAAGGTTGACATAGCATTGCAATCAATTAAACAAACACACTACAAGGGGATTATTGACTAGGAACATAAGGCTTCAGCAAACTCGGCCATCAAATGGAATGCATAAAATACCTTCCTGGCTCCATTCAGAAAGCCAGACTTGTGTTCCATTTGTAACCCCAATACATATGAGATTTAGTTAAATGCTTTAGAAATCACTGCTATGAGCTGATAGGAATGAAATAACAAAACAGTGTAGTCCTAAAAGTGGAGTTAGTTGGACTTCAGAGAGGAGCTCTCAACTAAGAGGCTGTGACATTTTGCTCCTCAGTCGGTAAAATCTGCAAACACATGAAGCTGTTTTATGCTGAGTAGATCATTGGTCCCCTGAGCCCAGTATTTTTATGACTACATGAGCTTCATTTAGTTGGGGATCTCAGGGATTAAAATGGGGAACTTCTGTGTGCAAATAATATATTTTACCACCAAGCTAATGTCAAAGTCCTTCATTCAGAAATCTTAATTACTGCAATCACACCATGGGTCTGTAGTGCAATTACTGATAAGTTTCCCTGTATTTCTTTATTTTCTGTTGTTAATTATCCCACTGTTCCTCCAAGGAATCCAGGGCTACTTTGGTTTTCACCCACCTTCCCATTTTATATTTTATATTCAAATCCTTCCTGTGAGGTAGGTTAGTCTGAGAGGCAGTGAGTTGACCAAAGGTCACTCAGTGACTAGGAATTTGAATGTGGGTTCCCCCATTGCTAGTTTCACCTTTGCAACTTACTAAAATCCCCATCTATCAGTTTGTCTTTCCTCTACTTACAGACACACACAAACATCCCTTCCTCCCATTTACAGAAGATGGGGCGCGGTATGGCATTTGGTTTTGGTTGGGAATGGGTGTCAGTTTATGTGAGGGCAGGCATAGATCCTGCTATATATGCTCAGCTCGTGATTTTGTTGGTTTATTTACTGTTTGGTCTTTGCACCCATCGGCCCAGACTGTATGGGTTGATGGATTAATTTATTGTGTAAGGCAGAGTATGAACTTAGGTAGGTAGTGCAAGCCCTGCTGGATCAGGCCAAGGGTCCCTCTAGGCCAGCACTCTGCTCTCACAGTGGCCTATCCAACATCACCTGAGTGCAACAGCAATCTCCCCACCTGTGATTCCCAGAATTTGGCATTCAAATGCATACCACCTCCAGCAGGGGAAGTAGGTTGTAACCATCACAGCAAATAGCCATTGATAGCATCACGCTCCATGAATGTGTCTAATCCTCTTTCAAAGTTACCCAAGTTTGTAGCCCATCACTGCCTCTTATGAATGTGAATGTCATAGTTTATGCACTGTGTGAAGAGCATTTCCTTTTGCCTGCCCCGAATCTTCCAACATTCAGCTTCATTGTATATCCGAATTCTAGTATTATAAGAGAGGGAATTTTTGTTTTGTCCACCTCCAAAATTCACTAGGGGCCAGGTTTCCCTCCCCCAACTCTACATTCAATACTCAATGCTCAGGGGATGCTGGCAAATAGGAGAGGGGCTGTGCAAGGGGGCTAAATGGTGGTTTCAGTTATTGGTAAGTACTAGGAATGACCAAAGAGACGAAAGTGCAAGTAGATAAATAGGTACCGCTCTGGTGGGAAGGTAAACGGTGTTTCTGTGTGCTGCTCTGGTTCTCCAGAAGCGGCTTAGTCATGCTAGCCACATGACCCGGAAGCTGTACGCCGGCTCCCACGGCCAATAAAGCGAGATGAGCACCGCAACCCCAGAGTTGGCCACGACTGGACCTAATGGTCAGGGGTCCCTTTACCTTTACCTTTAGGAATGACCAACTGGCTAAATTGGAATCTGCTAGGGCTTTGTGACTCAGAAACAGAGAAAGGAACCCCATTGGGCTGTTCCCTGCTTTGCACACACCAAAAACTGCCTCGCCATTTTGTTCTGTGTATGTCATCTCAATTCAGATATCTATATATATCCCCCCAAAAAGGGGGGGGGTATTTGCTTGACATTGGAATTTGCCAGAGTGAGGGATGGTTGAAAACTGTGGTTGGCTTTAAAGTGCTGTAACTCAAGAGACTTGTCTCCCGTGAATTTTCTGCACCTTTGAACATCTACCCCAGTCTTCCCTAGCCTCCTGCCCTCCAGATGTTTTTTGACAAGAACTTCAATAACCTCTGACCATGTTACAAGTGTGACATGAGCCAGTGTGGTGTAGTGGTTAAGAGCAGTGGACTCGTAATCTGGTGAACCGGGTTTGCTCCTCCACATGCAGCTGCTGGGTGACCTTGGGCTAGTCATACTTCTCTGAAGTCTCTCAGCCCTGCTCACCTCACAGAGTGTCTGTTGTGGGGGAGGAAGGGAAAGGAGATTGTTAGTCGCTTTAAGACTCCTTAGGATAGTGATAAAGCGGGATATCAATCCAAACTCTTCTACCTGAACTCGCATGTGCACAGCCAGCACTCATGTATGTTCATATACACACTGCTGAGAGGTTTGGGATCTTTCATTCACTATGCTGGCTGGAGCTGATGGGAGGCACAGAGACTCAGATATTGAAGCTCATATTGAAATTAGCCAGACCTGCTACTCCTTCCACCTGTCACTTTGGTTTCTGGTTTTTGTCAGGCTGGTTTCGAACCTTATGAACCAGATGAGCTCCTCCTGACTGATAGGAGGCCGGAAGCCTTCACGGCGCATTTGGAAAACAGGGCATCAGCTTCTCTCATGATTGTTTCTGTCACATGCACAACACACTTCTGACAAACAGAGAAAAAAGCAAGACTCTGGCAGAGCTGTCACACTGCTCCTGTGTCCGTCTCTATTAAATACTGGGCAGTCAAGGAGATGAGTCCCTGTTAGATCTCATTTTCTTCAGCTGCTGGAAACAACCATTGGGTAGCCATCCTTTTTGGAAAAAAGACACACAGTTCATTGTTACGTGTCCATCTTTACCAGTCTACTGTAAAATTCAGGTCTGTAAACATGTCCTGTAAGCAAGCAATGCTGACAGACTCAGCATGGTGTCCCTGTATAGCTTGCTTAGGTATTGGGAGGATGGCGGCCTGAGATGACCTTCCACACTTCAGAGTATTGTCGCATCTGGAGGTACAAGATGAAGGTCTGCCCTTGGAAAGGAATGATGGAATCTGTTAATTTTTGTTTCCTCTTAGTTTCCCACTCTTAACTTCAATTTGCCACTTATCAGCATCTGTTTGCTATGAAAATAATAATAATTCCTCGTGACAACTTGTTAGCAGCTCAGTTTATTTTTCTATGCATTTCCCCCAAATATAATGTCTTTTTGTATGCTATTTTCACAGATGTCTTTTTTAGCCATTTCTGTCCATGAATATAGACATTTTTGTAACCATTTTTGGGGGGTGAAATTTGGAGAAGTGCAAATTCCTGAGACCAGCCAAGCTTCAATTTACAGGCTGCTTTGCAAAGTGTAAAATTAGATAGGCACATATTAAAATTTGTAACCAACCAAATCCACCCCCATCCCTATTAATGATAAGGGGCCCTTATGAACACAACAGGGCATCCTCTTGCTACCTATCCTTCTTCTACTTAGCATCCATTATTTTAAAAGAATGCCTCTGCATTTTTGCCTGGCAAACTCTTGGAGGGATAGAAATGTAGGAAACCTTCTTATCAGACCATTGATACATGTAGCTCAGTATTGTCTACCAGTGCAGACTGGCTGGCAGTGGATCTCTAAGTGTAATTTGTCGAGAGCTGAGAACTGTTAGGTGACCCTTAACAAATTACAATTCCAAGGATTCATTAAGGGGAAGCCAGAACTTTTAAAGTGAAACAAGTGTCCTTTAAATGTATGGATGTGGCCAAGGTTTCCCCAAGGGAAGGAGAAATGGAGGAATCAATCTATTTCTAGACCATGCTTTATATCCAATTCTACATAGAGTAGACCTATTAAAATTATTGCACCTGTTATTTGTGTCCATTGTTTTCAAATGGTCTGTTTTGTGTAGGAGTAACACTGAATACAACACCGTACCATTTCTGTGTGTGTGCATTCAAGTCCACTCTTTCCTGTTTCTGCATTAAACAGTGGATTTAATTGTTTTTAATGCATGAAAATTTGAATTTAAATATGTGTTTTATTATGCCTTCTGTCACAAAATACATCATGATATATGCATCAATGTCAATATATGCATTTCTAAACATAATTTATTCTAGGATACACATTTTGTAGACACTTGTTCTTGCTTCTTCTTTTTTTGAGAGAAGTGTGAAATAAAGGAGGTGCAGATCAGTTCAGTTCACACTAGAATACACACACATACACACACACACACACTGAGCATTCCTAGAAGAGAGTGGAAACACTTTTTCAGCTGTAGCTGATGATACCAGAGATGGAACCTGCAACCTTTCGCAGACAAAGCCATGTCTTTCCTCAAGGACAGAAGCACATGAGATGTTGCTTGTCGGAAAGGGAAAGCGTCAGCTCCGATGAGGAGGATAGGGTCCTGTAAGATGGTTCAGTTCAATCAGGCAAAAGGAAGAGCAGAATTATACAAATGCGCTTCCTGGCAGTGTCGAAATGTTCCCAGCCAGCTCCTGGGGTGGGCAGTTGCAGTGGGAGCAACCCCTACCCACTGGCCACAGACTTTGAGGGGAACATTCATGGCACCCTGGGAGCTTACGGTCTTTAAGAAGAGAGGAAGGTGATTTGTGTATTGAATGGAGTTATATACCATTCAGACAGACATTTACAGCAGGAATGGGAAATATGGTAGGTAGCACTAGATTTGGCCTCATCCCCATTTCCCCTTGTGTATATCAGTTAGGCATCAGCAGCTTTGGCCTCCCCCAAATTGCTAATTTCCCCTGGGGGTATTTTTTGGGAGGAGAGGGTATCACCACTGGAAGAGGAACAGAGGTGCGGAGGGAGCGGACCGTCCCCTGGCAACACTATTCTGGTAGGGTGCCATCGTGGTGGCCCCCCTGACACACACCGTGCACCCTGCAGCGCCAGGCATCAGCCCCGCCTCACCTGCTCTCTGCCCCCAGTAGTGGAGCTTCACCACTGGGTATCACAAAGCGCAGCCTACACTTGCAAACCTCCCCCTTTAAGCTCTGCCGCTGTATAGAAATTGGGTGTGTGGGCTGGCGAGGATACCATTAGTGACAGTGGAAGGTGTTCAAAAGTTTAATTGCTATTTATTACCCACACTGGAGGAATGGCAGATGAAACTGATGGACTATATGGAACTGGCGGAAATGACTGGTAGAATCCGTGACCAGGGAGAGGAGTCGGTGGAAGAAGATTGGAAGAAATTTAAAGATTATCTACAGAAACATTGCAAAATCAAAGAATGTTAGAGTGATGATGGATTGAAATTAAGTGGTTTCTAGCTGCACAGGCGTTAAAGTTATATATAGACTAAGATTAAGGATTAGGCATAAAAAGGTTAAAAGAACGGAAAATTGGCTATTAATAGATAAGAATTTAATGTTATACCATATTAAGATTAAGGATTGGGATTAAAAAAGAGGGAAAGGAATTGCTGGACAAACAAACTGAATTGGAATACAAAAGAGGGAGGTACGAGGAGGTCCAGAAAATAAGTAAATTCAAAAGTGGTGATGAAAAGGTGGTATTGTTTTTAACTGTTTTTTCTTTTTTCTTTTTTTTTTTGTATTTTGTATTGTGTATTTTTGTATTGTGTATTTTTCTTTTTACTTTTAATTCTCTTTTACTGATGTGTTCTGTTTATATTGGAAACTTTAATAAATATCATTTAAAAAAAACACAAAAGTTTAATTGCTATTGGAGGAGGGTGGTGCTAGTTTGCTAGGAAAAGAGGTGCTGGAACTCACCATGAACTCCTCCCGCATTCTCTTAGAATGGCAATGACACCCACCTGAGAGGTGCTGGAACCAGGGGCACCTGCTTCTGGGGGTGGAGGCACTTTGGGGGCCCCCCGTTTTTAAGGAGGGGCTGAGCCCCCTCAATATCTAGTGGCTCAGGATATCCTGCGGCATTGTGCAAGGGAGAATGCTTTGGGGCATCACACATGGAATATTTCAACATCACGTGCAACGTCAGCTCCCTCAACTGCGGGTGCAAGCAGGCATCAATGGCTGGAACTGAGTTCTGGCTGAAAAGAAAGTCCTGGAGGAGGGCATTTTTGTGTGGAGGATCTCAGTGCTCAAGGAAGAGGGCAAGTCCTCTCCTCTCCAGCTGTGACCCTGCAACCCCAAATGCCTCCAGCACAGAAATAAGGATAGAACTATAGGAGCCAGTTTTAAGCCAATTGTAATGTTATGGGTATTTTGGAATGAGAATTGCAGTACACAGCAACATTTCCTACCCTTTCCCTCATCAATTGCCACCCCTCTGAAAATCACCCCCGCCTGGCAGTTAGGCTTGCAGGAAGGTAGCTTTCTCCTGCCCCACTGGAAGGCTCCCTTCCCACTCCAAATTGTCACGTGGGAGAATTATATTCATGAGTGAAGGAGACTTGGGGAGAAAGAGAGATAAGGAGCAAGAGAAGTCGGGGTGCGAAAAGTGGGGTGAAGAGAGAGCAGAAGAGAACATGGGGTGACAGAGAATGAAAAGGGAGACAGACAGATGTCCCATCCACTGTCAGTTGTGGCTCCACTCTCCTCAGAACATGAGCCCTATAGGAACCGGCTCCATCTAGTCCAACATGCTGTTCTCTCAGTGGCCAAGCAGATGTTCACTGGAAGCCTGCAGTCAGGACCTGAGGGCAACATCATGCTCTGCCCAACTGATTCCTAGCAACTGAGATTCAGAGGTATACTGCCTCCAACCATGGAGGAAGAACATAGCCATCATGGAGACTCATTGATAATAGCCTTACCTTCCCTGGATTTGTCTCAGCTTTATAGCCATCTAGTGATGGTGGCCATCATTGCCTCTTGTAGGAGTGGGCTTGCCTATTGGAAGGTCGGCGGTTTGATTCCCCACGACCGAGTGAGCTCCTGTTGCTCTGTCCCAGCTCCTGCCAACCTAGCAGTTCGAAAGCACACCAGTGCAAGTAGATAAATAGGTACCACTGTGGCAGGAATGTAATCGGTGTTTCCATGCACTCTGGTTTCCGTCACGGTGTCCTGTCGTGCCAGAAGCAGTTTAGTCATGGTGGCCACATGACTCAGAAAAGCTGTCTGTGGACAAACGCCGGCTCCCTTGACCTGAAAGCGAGATAAGTGCCACACCCCATAGTTGCCCTTGACTGGACTTAACCGTCCAGGGGTCCGTCGTACCTTGTAGGAGTGAATTTCAATGTCTACTTTTGGCTTCAGCCGCACCCAGCAATTTTGGCTCTAGCCCTACCTAAGCTGCTGCAAGATGTTACCCCTGAAGGGAATGCAGCCCTCAGCATAAGGCAGGTTCTGCAACCCTGCTGTTATCTGGAATTTTTGGCCAGCTCTGCTGACCACCCCAGACCTTGTTACAGTTGCTAAGCAATGCTGTGGATTTCCATCACCTTCAAAACACTGTCTCATTTGCACTTCTGATGTCAACAGGGACAGCTGCAGAAACTGCAACTATGCCAAATATGCCCCCATAATTAGCTGATGTTTGAAAGCAACGGTGAATTACTGTGCCACGTCTGAAAATACTGGTGGCAGAAACTGGCAAAGAGCAGAGCAGAATTATCACTTTTATAGGTTTTGTTGTTGTAATTCTCACCCTGCATCACGCATTTTGCATTTATGTGATTTTAACAGCAAGTTATGTTTATATTTGTATTTACATGAATCTTATTAGAGAAACGTCTTCCATTTCTGACATTGCCGCACTAAAGCTTTACAGCTTCCTCAGGTGTATTTTTATTATTATTATTATTATTACTTCCTTTTCATCCTAATGGGGAACATGCCCTACTTTCTTGTTGAGAAGATGAGATGCTTGCATTATGCATTCCCAATATGAAAAATAAAAAATGAAGGCAGGTTCATGGTCGTCAAATGAAATGTATTCAGAGTAAGCTTCCTACCCTGAGGGAGTTGTGCTTAAAGAATTTGATTTCAGGGTAGGATTAAAACATGATGCAGTTTATGAGAAGAAGAACTCTTTAAAATAGTGCTAACACTTCCAGCTGTAGAATGAAACTACTAAGATAGGGACATAAGAAGTTGCCTTAATCTGAGTCAGACCTTTGGTCCATCTAACTCCATATTGTCTACACTGACAACTCTCTGGGGTTTCAGGCTCAGCATAATTCCCAGCCCTACCAGGAGATGCTGAGAATTGAAACTGGGACCCACTGCAGGCAAAGCAGATGCTCAACCACTGAGCGATGGCCTTCACCTGAAGCTGTTCTTCAGCAGCAGGACCAGTTAGGGAGCCTTTCATTTGAGGAGGGCTCAATATTTGGAAAGGTATCAAACTGAACAAAGCTATCAAAACATTAAGCAAAGTGCCATGTGATGACAAAGCTAGCCACCTTGGTGTGCCATTGTCCAACCCTTGTGACACTGGCAGTCATAGCTCATTGCATACAGAAATTAAAATATTTGAAGTGGCTGTAAGATGTGGCCAAATAGTTGGTGTAGGGAAGTGCTTTTCAGACTTGGACCCCCATATGTTGTTGAATTGGCTAAATTGGTCAGGGATGATGGGAGTTGTAATCCAATGATATCTGAGGATTGAAGACTCAAGAACACTGGTGTGTGTTCATGTGTGTTTATCTGTGTATATCCTGGGGCTGCCAACTATTAGGATTCAGTTCCTTATCCTTTGCACTATTGATGTTCTGCTGCCACTATGACTGGCAGTCTAAGTTTATGCATCAATGGTGTCACCTAGATGATAAAGTACATTAAATGTGTTTTCAAAGGACATGGATTTCCCAAAAGGATCCTGGAAACTGCAGCTTACCCCTCATAAGACTATTAATTCCCAGCAACCTTAACAATCTACAGGTCCCGTCAGGGATGACCCAACCACGAGGTGGGCTGAAGCAGCCACCACAGGGGGAGCAGTGGCAGTGGCGATGGCTGTGGCTCTGGTGAGATCTCACAAGTCTCTGCTATTCCTTCACCTTCCCAGCAGCGGAGCAAGCCGATCGGGCACATAGGGCAGCGCACGTGCCCGGGGGTGGGGCCAGCCGCCCACGGGAGCACCGTGGGGCCTCCAAGGAGTCTGCCTGTCTCCTCCCACTCAGCCACCCTACAGCTGAGGGGGAGGCAACAGGCGGACAGTTTGGGCTGCGTGGAACCTGCAAGCGCTCTAGCCACTGCGTCACTCCCAGGAGAGATGCGTGGCTCGGGTGGCACTGCAGGCCCCGCGGTGAGTGCCGCCCGGCATTTTGTCACCCCCCTCAATGGTTACACCCGGGGCGACCCACCCCCACCCTTGCTACGCCCCTGCACATTCCTCCCCTTGCACAACTTGTATTTGTGGGGAGGGCAGGAGGGGTCTCTTCCTTTTCTGTGCCAGGCATTGCAAATCTGAAGACCATACATGCTCCCTCCAGGAATGTGACATTACAAAGGTGCTGTGCCTTTTAGCACCCCCTATAATTCCAGGGTGTTTTTAAGTTTCTCCATAGCTCCCCAGGTTGCCTCTAACTTGCTCTGCATCATGCCCTTCATTATACGCCTAGCAATTCCTGCCACTCAGTTTTGCCCTGCAGCGGTCTTTGCTATTCTGTGTTGTGGGCATCCACATGAGTTGGCCAATGTATCTGTCTTGCCCTGGAGCAACCCCTGACTTTCCTTTCTCTGGCTGCTGTTCTCTCTTTCTCTCTTTCTGCTTGTTTCTCAAACTGTTGCTTAAAAAAAAATCATGTGAAGGTTTTTGTAGGTTATTCTTCTAGAAGGTGGACTGGTGCCTGGGGGTGTTTTGGAAAAAGCAAAAGGGCAAACCTAGTTATTTTGTGCTGCTGCAGTCAGTCATGTATTTTTTTATATAAAAAAACCAGCAATCATCAGGATTATTAATTTTGCAGCTTTATACAGTATCTCTGTTGCCTCCATCATACTGGTGCAAATCAGGAATAGGCAGCTAAACATAAACAATGTTGGACACAGGTATGAGTAGAATCAGGATCTGACTGTGATGGATGAAGAATTAAGGTTGGGCAGCACAATGGATGTGTAATTTTGGTAAAGTCATTGGTGGTCATTGTCCAGGGCAGGAGATTTTAATTTAGAGATGGGCTAGAATTTCTGGGAGAAGAATTTCTGGTTGGTTTTTTTGTTTGTTTTTTTATAAAAATAAAAATCTGGCTCTTTCCAAATCATAGAATGATTTCAACATCCCCTGGAGAATATTTTGTCAAATGCCTGCCAACTTTCTGCCCTTGAATAAAGTGGTGCAGCTGTAGAATCAGTTTTAATTATGGCTTTAATATAATTTTTATATTGTTGGAGGAAACAATGGGCTCTTCCTTCATCCATTGGTAAATAGCTTTATTCAGTATCTATTAACTGAGATGAAATTTATCAGAATAGAATTTTCTGAGAATTTCTTTCTTTGGCCCTCCTTAACCTGCTGGAGCACTCTGTGCTCCCTCTCCAGAGAATTTTGGGTGAAATCCTAGCACAATTTCATTACCGACAAACTAAATGGAGAATTTTGAGCAGGTCATTTTCACTCAGCGCAAACTTTACCTGTGTCCAAGAGAGAGTGCATTTGCATTATTGAAGCACTGCACCAAAAGCATCTTAATGCAAAGCCATTCCCCCGCTGCCCAAGTGTTTTATCAGTAAATTATATTATTATTATTATTATTATTATTATTATTATTATTATTATTATTTTATTTATTTATACCTGCCCATTTGGCTGAGTTGCTGTTTTTCTAGAAAAAGAGGAACACCTCCCTTGTTCCCTTATAATGGCAATGGTGCTCACCTGAGAGGTGCCGGAACTGAGTTCTGGTGAGTTCCGAACTTCTTTCAATAACAGTAGTGAATGTGCCCAATGGGGCATAGCTCCATGGTAGAGGAACCTTTTTGCATGCAGAAGGTCCCAAGTTCATGCTCTAGCATCTCCAGTAAGGTCTGGGAGAGACTCTCTGCTGGAATTCCTAGAAAACTGCTGCCAGTCAGTATAGACCATATTGATCCAGATGAACCAAAGATCTGATTCAGCATAAGGCAACTTTCAATGTTCCTACAAACTATTTAGGCTCTGATTTCAGGATTAGTTTTAGAAGTCCTCATATTTAAACTGGAATTTAGGAAGAGTGTGGTACAGGAAGGAGCAAATAAGATAAAGAGATCAGGTGTGGTGAATCTTAAGCCATAGGAACCAAACACAGCCTTCCAGACCTCTCTTTTTAGCACTTGTGACTCTTCCCAGGCTACACCTCCCCTACACATCTTCTTGCCAGGCAACACCACTCTCTGGACCTGCCCCAGAAAAACCAGTACATACTGGGGGTTTTTCCTGTGAGAGCATGGTGGCCATTTTGGGCGTCTTGCTCACACAGTTTCAGACTGAGCTCTCTCCACCCACCAAAGTGCTTTCTTCAAGTCTGTGGTCTTCTACTGCACTTCAAAACACATGTTTTTGGGTGAAAAAGTGCCTGAAAGGGTGCTTTTTCTGGGTCCACATGCAGGACACGTGACCTGTGTGGGATTTAGGACCCAGAATATGGTGTCCTGATTTGGGGCTGCATTGTATTGGAGGGTACATTGTTTCTGCCTCACTGGAATGTGTCCTTCAACTCTGACAAAGCTTCTTTCTTGCGTTGATGGGGGATAGAGAGGGTTGTGTTGTTGTGCATCAAAACCAGCTTACTGTACAAAGGTAGAAATCACTTTTGTTGCTCTGTCTCCTTTTTCCCTCTGGCCCTGTGGACCCATGGCATATGGCCCCTAGGTTTCCCAGCAGGAAATGAGGCTCTGGACAATGGGGGGGGGTGTATCAGGAGTGAACATGGACCACTGGTACCAAACTGTATGGGAAACTGCCCTGACAGAAAATGTAACTAACAAATTGATGGTGATACAGGGACAAGCACAGGAGGGCACCTTTGTCCTGGTGTGGCTCTCCTTTAATATATATGTGTTATGTACTGAGTTGAATAGGATCCAAAATGCAGCAGTGTGATTGGTCCTAGAACAATAGGATCCACATAACAATATGCAAGCCAGCGAATGGTGGAGACCGCCTCCCCAGCCTGACCCTTCCAGAGAAGAAGAAGACAGTTCAGAATTACAACAAGGGTTTGAGGGAGATCACAGCTCAGAGGCAGATGATGGGGAAAGCTGGGAAATAATGGGAGAGGAGGAAGAAGAAGAACCAGAGGGGAGACAACCGACGGACACAGTATGTCAGGGCTGGGTCAGAACGCACAGAGTCCCCTGACATTGAAGAGGGAGTTGGGGAAGAACCAGAAGCAGCAGAGGAATGTGTGCTTGGAGAGGAGGGAGGAGCAGGGCCCAGCATTGAAGTGTTAGAGTCTGTAAACACAGGGAACCATGAAGAAGTGGCATGTGAGCCGGCAGCCTCCCAGGCACTGCAAGGGTTAAGCTCTGAATCGGAAGGGGGGGGGGATTTACATCAGCTTGAGCGAGACTGGAGGAAAAAAGGCAGGTCCAAAGGTGGGTTGTAAAGTTCCTGCACTTTAGGTGCTGGAAGAGGGGGCAGAGATCGTTGGCTGTATCTGATTCAATGGACTCAGACTAATGGTGATTAGCTCGTTGTGCCTTTTGTAAATAGTTGTAAATAAGGACTATAAAAATGCCGACGGGTGTGAGGTGGTGATTACAGTGAAGAGAGAATGTATCTCCCTGACACAGTGTCTTTAGAAAGCATTCCAGACCCCCCTCCCAGAACCCAGCAGGCATTGAAAGTAGGAGAGCAAAGAGCTCAAAGGCAGAGGGCAGTTCTCAGCACCTGTAGTAATGACACATGTGTGGCGATCACACAGGGTCCCCGGACGTTTCACCATCTATTGATCCCTGCGCCATCACTTTATTTCTCGCTGTCACCACACAGGCCCTACCTGGTACAATACTGAGTCCAGTCAGGGTTAAATTGGAACATAAACTTGCAGTTTAACAAGCGTGTGGTTTCATAAACGGTATCGGTCCATTACAATCATGGGGTGCCTATCCAGACCTATAACTTCCACTACCTGCTCTCACTTACTAAACCACCTCTCAGATATTTACTTGTCTTCCCAGCCCCTAACTGTTCCTGACTCTGCTTATTTCTCAACACTAACTCAACCTACCCGCAGACTCTATCCCAATTCACTCCCACTCCAACCAACCACCCAACTCCCAACGAACTCCTCCCTTTGCCCCTCCCAGAGCTGGTTTAATAGTCCCTCTGACTCCACCCCCTGGGTTCTGATTGGGTAACCTGTTTAACTATTTCACCTCCAGCACTCTCATATGTTAACGTCACATCGTGAAAGAAGAGAGGGAGGGGGTGGAAACTCACTCGGGGCAACACCATTATTCTAAGAGGCTGCATTTCCGAGCCTCCCTCTGTCAATATTGAATAAAAAGCAGATGGTAAGGACCTTTCCTTGTCTTATCTGTTCCTGGCAACCTGCCATGGGGGTTGAATCCTCTGCCACCTGACACCCAGCAGTGTACAAATTGATATGGTTAATCTGATCCAGCAACACAACACACAGAGAGACAAAGCACACTGCAAGCAACTGCAGCCAACCACACCCTGGGCCATCTAGTCTCTCACTCCACCAGCAAAAATAAAATACCTGCTTGCAGCATTCAATATTCTCTGGGTACCAGGCGCATTTTGCACCTGGCTATGGGCCACTTATGAGTCTGACCAAACTGCGGGAGGCAGTGGAATACAGGAGTGCCTGGTGTGCTCTGGTCCGTGGGGTCACGAAGAGTCGGACACGACTAAACGACTAAACAACAACAACAATGGGCCACTTGTGACCAAGTGCAGCTGCCCGGGCACCAGGATGGCGCCTGATGTCTCCACCATCTGGAGGTTCATGCCTGGGGATCCTTGGATCTTGACTGTTTTCACAAACTAGCAGCACCTCCTGCAGAATTCTATTCATTACATTTTATCTGTACAATCAGAATGAATTTCAGGAAGTAAAAAGTCATATTGAAAAATATGCCTTTCCAGCCATCTGGCCCCCAAATGGCAAGGAGGCATTCTGTTTTGGCAACTATAACCCTGGTTTAAGGAGCCATTTGGAGCCTAGCTTTTACATCTGAGTTTCCAACACAGCCTGCTTACGTGGCGCTGACACAAAAGTTTTGCTCATATACTATATACTGTTATATTGCCAATAATAGTAATGTATTGCTTGGAATATGACTGACTTGTTTGAAGGATTCTATGACTTGAAAACAAAGACTCTGTATGTAATAATAATAATAATAATAATAATAATAATAATAATTTATTTATATCCCGCCCTCCCCAGCCAAAGCCATGCTCAGAGCGGCTAACAGCAATAATGTACCACTGTTACCCAATAAAATCTTTGAATAAAAACTTTGTTGTTGCTTACTCTTGGAATAAAGGGATAGATTGCAGAACACCCTCTCATTCATTTCCCCCTCTCTAGCATCATGGGGAATAGAATACTGATTATGCCTATCCACTCTTTAAATGAGAGTCATTAAAGGTCATAACAGCAGTGATTTTTTAAAAAGGAAAAAGGTGCCAGTACTTTTTTTTTTTTTTTTTGCTGTTTGGAAAGTGACAGTGAAATCATAGAATTGCAGAGTTGGAAGGGACCCTGAGGATCATCTAGTCCAACCCTCTGCAATGCTGGAATAGACACTTGTCGCATACAGGGATTGAACTTGCAACCTTGGCATTATCAGCACAATGCTCTAACCAGCTAAACTATGAAGTTGTTACAGTAAGTGCCACACTATTAACATTTAGGGGAGAGTGTCAGTACTGCATACACTTGAGTAGCCCTAGAAAAAAGCACTGCATAGCACCTCCCTGGTTCTGTTATATTCAGTCGATACATATTTGTGGGGAATATGAGTGTGTCTGCCCATTTTTTCCCGCAGCCAATTTTTTTTTAAGGGGAGGAGGGTGATATCTAGGCAAACTGATGCTTCCATCAGAGTTCTGTGCTGCCCAGTTTGAAGAGCAATCTGTCGAACCGCCCTGCCTCGGGCTATAGAACTAACATTCTGAATACTGCTTAGTGCCATTCCACTTGGCTCTATGTTTACCTTGGGCCTCTTTTCAGCTTTATACAATTTTAATTAATCCTTTATGATCTGCAGCAAGAGATCTGCCAGACAGCAGCACAGAACTCTCGCTGTCAGCTTCTGACTGTGGCTGTTTTCGGCTAAACAGTCTGTCTGTTCTGATGTACAAAGAGGTTCTTCATCCACAATAATGTTACACTCGTCTAATTAAAATTATGCAGCAGTATGTGGTTGGCTCTTTTTAAAAACAAGGCTGGGTTATGAAACTGGCCAACTCCTCCATGCCTGCTACTTAGGGAGCAAATTGCTTGCTTATGTATATAATAATTCCATTGATGCCAAAGCACAGAAGTGGTTCCTGGCCTTGCATACAAAAATAAAATAAAATAAAATAAATCATTGCATTCCAGGGAAGCTCTAAAAAGCAATGGGTTTTTTTCCCCCCTTCTGGGAATGGCATAACTTCTATTTCAAAGTGGAATGGGCATATTTTATTCTTCTCCTTTTTAGAAGATGAGATATTCTTCAGGGGGGAGGGATAAATCAATGTAGAAAAGTTGGAAATGGCATCTTAGAGCAACAAAATGATTGGATATGTCACCACCACCATTTTCTCTTCCAAATATTGAAGGCAATGGGTGTGTTTTTTTCCAGCTTGAAGAACTGACATTTTAGAATGAAATTTTTCTTTTATATTATGCTGAGATCATAATAAAGCCAGCATGTCCCCATGTGGCATCAACTACATGTTTTTAACACTCATCATGAACTTTAAGGCCAGGTTACTTTTAGATTCCAGTGTATGTTGCTAGAATTTTGTTTGAACTTCTCAGCAGGTATCTTTCTCCACTCCTAATTACTCAAAGGATGTCTTATTCTCTGTGTGTAGGTGTATTTTTAAAGAGTTCTATCGCTTACATTCCTGTACTGCATTAATACACCAGGATGGCTCATGAAAGATGGATGTTTCCAACCCAGCATGCTGCAAGCCAAGGTTATAGATCTTGCACTTGAAAACAAACACACACACACAACCCCCCATTTTTTTATTTGCCCCTAGGAGCTTTTATTTTATTTATTTTGAATTATTTCTAGGTTACCATTCCAGACAAAGCCTGACCAAGGTGTTGTCAAAAAAAAAAAGTTAAAGAGAGGAAAACAGCAGTCCCTCCACTTCCACCTTAGCTGGTACAGTACAAAAGCTAAAATTATTAGATCCTCCCAGGAATAAGAGACAATAAACCATACTCAGCCTTTTTCATAGCAGCAGTATCCACAGTGCATCCCAGGTGTAAAGAACTTTAGTCCTTTGATGGTTGCCAAACTACAAGTCCCATCAACCTTGACTCTTGGCCATCCCAGTGGGCCAAAAGTTTCCCACACTTAGTCTAGCCCTCAAAAGAATGGGCCTTAGGAAGTAGGAGCTGGCACCTATTTCATAAGGTAACTATGTATTTTTCATATGGTTAGCCATTTGAATGGTAGCTTGTTTTCCCTCCACAGAAACACAATGTGATTGACTTAGGAACAAAGTTAATTGAAATGATGTTTACCTCTGAGCAAACCATGCAGCCACTCTGTAGCAACAAAAATCACATGGAACCTTAGCCCATAGAGTTTGGAACACCATAAACTCTCTTCTGTAAAAGGCATACTGAAGGAGGGAGAACATGGCCCATTTTAGGCAGACTTGTTCTGAAGAGCCATGATTGAGCATTATGGGCTGTATCCAGTGTTGCACTAAGTTAGTCACTTAGCTGTATGCTTGTTCTGCTGGTGAAACATTTTGCAGTAGTGGGAAGTTGTTGAACAAAAGAATGTGTAAGCATCTTGCTGGTATGCTTAATAGAGTTGCATAATAGAGTTTGCGTTGTATTCCTCTATTACAGGGACGTCCAAGAGGCTGCAATCTATTCACACTATAAATAAACTGGCAGTGAGCTACCCATTGGATTGACCAGAGTTGTTGAGCTTTTGGGGGGAGAGGAATGACCAGAATTGTTGACTTTGGGCGGTGGGGAATCAGCAAAGTTATTGAGCTTTTTTTGGTCCAGGGCCGTCAATCAGGAACCTGCGATCGACCATGATCAACCACTGACACCCAGCAATCAACCGGTCGATAGTGATCGACCGGTTGGACATCCCTGCTCTTTTACATTACATTAGAACTCATCCACTAGCACAAGAGCAGATACAGCCCAATATAAAGAATGTCTTATTCAACAAGGACAGGAACTGGGACACAAAGATATAGACAAATTCAGAATAACCATAAGGGCAGCCATCAGAGTTTGGCATCACCAGCCTTCATGTTTCTTTACTACTGCTCCTTTCTCTTCTCATCATTTCTACCCACTACTCAAAGTCGGCAGGTGGTGATGGCAAGGGAGTAGAAGCAGCAGCTCCCTGCCCTCTCCTTCTGTAAGTGATGGGTACTCGACTCAGAAAGAGAGTAGACCCTTCCTAGGAAGAGGGAGTGCATAAGAGGCCACTTGTCCAATGACAACCCAAAATCTGGAGCTGAAACTGGAACTGTTAACTCCAGTTATAATTCCACGCATAAGTAAACTGAAAACTCTTTGTGCCACACATTCACAACTTATTAACACGGTGATGCTCATTTCCCAGATTTGCCTCACTCTTGGCAGCACTGAATCTTCTACCTTGGCAGCAATAAATTAGCTCTTTTGGTTGTGTGATTTGGCCCTCATCACGACTGAAGAGCATGTTCCAAGGACTCAACTCACTGATTCAAAAACACGAAATGTTCTGCAAGGAGCTGCCGTGTCATGACACAAAGTGGGCTACTAAGCCAACATGGTGTAGTAAATTGAACTTATTGAAAATTACATTTATATCCCACCTTACACCCAAGGAGCAGAAAGCAGCATATATTGTTGGTTCCCTACCACCACAATTTTATCCTCATAGCCAACCACACCATGAGGTAAACAGGGTTGAAGAGTGAGTGCAGGTAGGTCACACGACTTCATGGCTATGTGGTGATTTGGGTTTGGGTTTCCTCAGTCCTAATCCAACACTCTAACTACTACACTGGCTCTTTAGACATGGGACAATGAAACAGAAGGAGATACTAATGTACCCAGAAAGAGAAACCAGATAATTACATTGCCCTAAAAATTGGATAATATCCAGCTTTTTCAAGGAGAGGAGGCAGAAATGTGAAGGTGATGATTTGAGGCAGAAAGATATGCAGTTTCCACTCCCTGACCACCAGGACTGCCTTGACCTGAACTTACCTTGAGAAGCATCTGATGAAAGCCATTTAAGTTTCATTCCTAAAGTTAAACAAGATTTTATAGGATCCTCACGGAAAGCATTCTAAATTCCCTAGTGAAATGATAAGATCCAAGTTCAGCAGATAAATAAAACATGATTGTCAGGTCAACAAGTATTTGGAAGCTGAGAACTGGATTACTGTAACCACAAGATCCTTCACTGAGCCCACAATTCTAGTTCAACCTTGTCTGCATATTGCCAGAATAAATTTAAACAAGGTAATAAGCAAGGGATTTATCAGACCTTCTACTTTGCTTCTGGGCAAACACGAGGCTGTTTAAAAATTGATTTCTTCTGTGTGTGCTTTCCTGTCTCTCCTTTTGATTTTATCTAGTCCTTGATCATGCAGAATAGAGTTTGATGTCTTAGTGAAATGGCTGTGGGTTTTAGGCTTGACTCTGCCTCATGCCAGAGTGGGGCTGGTTCTGCTTCTAAGCTACAAGGAGCTGTGAGCACAAGATTCCATTTTCTTAAAGCAGAAAATCCCATTTTCTGCAACTGATGAACCCAAATGTGCATGTTTCCTACATTTTTATGCTTTATTGATTTCAAACATGCACTTTTTCAAAGAGTCCCCCCCCCCAAGTTTTTGTCAGAAACAAGGGGCAAGACGTGGCTCTGCCTGAGGGTGGGGGTCGACATGATGGTGCAGAAAAAGGTGGCACTCCTGCTGGCAGCTTCAAACCAAGTGTCCTAATCCAGTCCATGTGACCTTTCCACAAATTATGCCCACCTACTATCCTTTAAAAAAGAAAAGAAAATATTTTTATTAAATTTTCTGTTTTACAATTTCAAATAAACATTTTACATACTTAAGATATCAATGACTTCCCTTCTTCTCTTTCTATGGTTCATTTTACATATCCTATATCCGTGCGTATTTTACAAAAATTATACCAATCAGTTTTCCATTATTACATCCATCAAAACATATTTACTGTACATTGTTGAATTTATCTTAATGCTGCCAGCGTTTTCAGCCGTACACAATTATTTTCCATATAGTCAATAAACGTTTTCCAATCTTCTTTTAATGTATGTTCTTCTTGTTCCGTTATTCTGCATGTTAAGTCTGCAAGTTGTGCATATTCTGTCAACTTAAGTTGCCATTCTTCTTTGGTTGGGACCTTGCTCATTTTTCATTTTTGGGCTAGCAAAACATGGGCCACAGTTGTTGAATACATAAATAACCTTTCCTGACACCTGGGAATTCCAGTCTGGATTATCCCCAACAGAAATGACTCTGGGGCTTTTTGGAAAGTAATTTTATACATTTTTTTCCCAATTCATTATAAATAATTTCCCAATACTTTTTAACCCTTTTACATGTCCATGCCCACCTACTATCCTATGTGATGTCGGTTGTTGGGCAGAAGTTGTGGCCACAAAGGC